TGCCTCGAGGCGCCGCCGCCGCCACTGACTCTGCCGCTGTCGCCGCCGCCCTTGCTATTGCCACTGCCTTTGCCACGGCCACCGCCACATCCCTCTTCAGCTCTTTTTCCTGCACCAGCTCCGTGACCAGCAACAGCTCCACCACCAGCTCCACCTCCGACTCCACCTCCACCTTCACTAACAGCTCCAGCTCCTCCTCCAGCTCCAGCTCCTCCTCCAGCTCCACCTCCATTTCCAGCTCCACCTCCATTTCTAGCTCCACCTCCATTTCCAGCTCCACCTCTATATCCAGCTCCAACTCTGACTCCGCCTCCGACTCACCTCCACCTTCACCACCAGCTCCAGCTCCTTCTCCAGTTCCAGCTCCTCCTCTACTTCCAGCACCACTTGTAGCTCCAAACCCCAATCCTGTCATCGCCACCGCCTTGACAACAACTGAAGATGCTACCGCCACCGGTTCTCTCTGAATTACCCACGTTGCACTTGCTGCTCACGATGCTTCCACACATACGGAGGTCTCAACGTTGGCTTCTGTCTTGTCGCTCTAATGCCCCAGCAATCTCTCTACGCCGCCTTGCGTCTCTCCTCAGGCTTGCTGCTTTTCCTCTCGGTGTTGCATAATATTCGTATCTTCCACGCTTTCGAATATTTAACTATCTTACCGTCTTTGTTTCTGGACATCAGTCTGTTCTACAGTTTTTGATTCACTAGCCTTCCCCCACACACCGTACACACTAAGCTCGCCAATGTTCTCAAGACTAAAAGACATGTCAGAAAATTCACTTTTAGTTTTGAGACTTTTAGTAAGTATACATATACGTAAGAGATGAGAAACGTCTTACTTTATAGTGTTTTTGATGCTTTTTAAATATGATCCCTTATCTTGCGTATGAATAACGTCCGTCCGTGAACTTACTGTCGCTTTTACACCTCGCTTTTTTACCACCCAGTACACCTGACGCTCGGAAATCTGACGACCATCCACTTCAGTTCTCTTCATATCACAGCTCCTCCCGTCTGCCGGCCCGCGATGCCGAGGTCGCGCAGGACTGCACCATTTCTTTGCCTCTTCAATACGACCGCCGTTTCTTGCCTCTATTCAGCTTTCGCACCGCTTCTTTACGACTTCCGTTACTCCCCCGGTCCCTTACGCTACCTCCGATTGCGTACCTCTCCGCTAGTCCGCTCCAGCAATACCACGTCTTGTACGCCTTTCTTTATTCACTGTTTCTACATCTACAAGGTCAACATTTCGTGTTATTTTCCCTTTCTCTCGACACTGTTGTTCGTCAACAAGGGTTTCCATTTCATCACCACCTTATCATGGTGTATAATTCGCGTCCATATCACTCGCACGCTGTTACCAGGCATTTATTTAGCTCTCTGCACAGCTAAACGCATTTCACATCTATATAGTTAAACGTCAATGAACTACGATTGACGGAAGGTTCCGGCAAATAATTTACCGGAAAATACGCGATTACTCTATATGAATTTAAGTTGGAATACCCTTTTCGAGTAAACAATTATATTTTTCCTGTTACCAATCTCGCGTAGTCTGATTTGTGAAAGTGACAATCTTCCAATTGGCTCCAACTCTGCGCCATATTGATTAGTAACAATTCAACAGATATCAACCACACATTTTTTATTATTACTGAATTTAATATTTTAAATAATGATCCAGACGTTGTATATTTAAGAAATTTCATCCCATTTTCAGAGGCACCGAGCATTATGGATTTAACACGTTAATATCATCATCACGCTAATTGAACGTGTTCAATCCATGATATTTGTCCAACTGAAGATGGCATAAAATATATTAAATATATCTATGGATAGTTATTTAATAGTTATTTATGACTCAAGGGCGATATAAGAGTTCTAATGATCGAACGGTGACTAAAAGCCAAAGATCCTTTGTCCCGAGGGACTTTGTCACACCAGAGAATTAGAGCCAGTTAACGTTCGTAGCTTATACAATATTTTATTTTTCACGTGATTTTAATGTCTCATTTAAAGTTATTTACTAATTAACTAAAAAGTATGTTGACTCGCTTTGCCTGTCCCTATTTCCTGCGTAAGGGTACATTTATGTTGGAGCGGCGATAAACGATGAGAGCGAAGAGAGAGTTGTTGCGAAATCGCAGCGCTTATGTGTTCATGTTGGAGCATCGCGAAGCAGCGCCGCTCCGAATTTGCCAGAGACATCTACAGGACATTGCGACACCCCTCACGACACGCCTCACGTCACGCCCTTACGACACTCCTCACGACACTCCTCACGACACCCCTCACGTCACCCCTTACGACAGCTCTCGCCGAACACTCCTCACGACCACCATCACGACACCCATCACGACACCCCTCGCGACACCCCTCACACACCCCTCACGCTCAACCCCTTACGACCACTCCTCACTACACTCCTCAACTGACACCCATCACGACACCCCTCGCGACCCACCCTCACGTCACCCCTTTCGACACTCCTCACTACACTCCTCACGGACACCCATCACGGGGGGGACCCCAACCCCCCCTTTCCGCGGGGGGGGGGGTGGAAACACGCCCTCACGTCACCCCTTACGACAACTCCTCCACTACACTCTCACGGGACACCCATCACGACACCCCTCGCTACACCCCTCGACGACACCCCATCACGGCAACCCTTACGACACTCCTCACTACACTTCCTCACGACACCCCTCACGACGACCCCTCGCGACACCCCTCACGTCACCCTTACGACACTCCTCACTACACTCCTCACGACACCCCTCACGACACCCCTCACGTCACCCCTCACGACACCCCTCACGACAACCCTTACGACACTCCTCACTACACTCCCACCGGGACACCCCTCACGACACCCCCTCGGCGACACCCCTCACGACACCCCTCCACGCTCACCCCTTACGACACTTCCTCAGACGCAAGCCCCATCACGACACCCATCACGACACCCCTCGCGACACCCCTCACGACACCCCTCACGTCACCCCTTACGACACTCCGCCACTACACTCCTCACGACACCCCACATCACGACCACCCCTCCGACACCCCTCACGTCACCCCCTTACGACCATCCTCATACACTCCTCAAACCCATCACGACACCCCTCGCGACACCCCTCACGTCACCCCTTACGACACTCCTCACTTACACTCCTCACGACATCCCATCACGACACCCCTCGCGACAACCCCTCACGACACCCCATCACGTCACCCCTTACGACACTCCTCCACTACACTCCCTTCACGACACCCCTCACACACCCTCGCGGACACCCCTCACGTCACCCCTTACGACACCTTGTCCTCACTACCACTCCCTCACGACACCCTCACGACACCCCTCACGTCACCCCTCACGGTACAAACCCTCACGACACCCCTTACGGAACACTCCTCCACTACACTCCTCCCACGGACACCCCTCACGAACACCCTTCGCGACACCCCTCAAACGACCACCCCTTCACGTCACCCTTACGACACTCCTCCACTACACTCCTCAACGACACCCGCTCACGACCAACCCTTCACGTTCAACCCCTTAACGACACTCCTCCGCGGCAACCCCTCGCGACCACCCCTCGCGGTCAACCCCTCGCGACACTCCTCGCCGGGGGGAAACACTCCTTCAACTAACCAACTCTCACGACACCCATCACCGACCCCACCCCTCGCGGGCACCCCCTCCAGCCGTCAACCCCTTACGGGACACCTTCTCCACTTACACTTCCTCCACGACACCCATCACCGACCATACCGCCTCGCGACACCCTCCCACGACCCCACCCCTCCAACGTTTCACCCCTTACGACCCACTCCTTCGCGGACACCGCCTCGCGTCACCGCCTTCGCGGACATCTCCGTCGCGGGGGACCCAACTCCGTCCGCGACACTCTCCGCCGGACACTCCTCGTGACACTCCTCCGGCGGGACTAACTCCTTCGCGACACTCCTCGTCGACCAACTCCTGCGCCGACACTCCTCGCGGAATCTCTCTCCTTTGT